CCACATTTTACCGTCAAATTCCCACAAAGATGTCAAAGACTATACGTATACTCAAAAACTACCCAGATCGGCGTGGAAGTGTTTGGAGATAGTGCGCTCCAGTTGAAAAAACGGTGCTCTAATCGAAATGGCTATGAAGGGCACCTGCAACTCCTCCCAGGTCCGAGCCCTTTTACGGGCGTTCGCTTGCCTGTGATTTGCGCTCAAAAGTGGCTTGGAGCGTACATTTACTGTTTTACGCACAAATGCGTTGACAGGGTGTACGATGGGCGGTAATCACGGAATTCACTGAAACTTGGCCTAGGGGGGGGGGGTTATTCGACCCGCTAATGCCGATTAGTATCAGATTAGTTTTGCGCGGTAGCGCCATTTTCCGAAGTTACGGTGGGTGTACTGTAGGGGGTCACAATAGCAGATTTCGCTGAAACTTAGCGTAGGGGGGTTTGATCACGATTATCATGCTCGCCTTGCGTCTTGGGACATTTCTGCGGAATTGCGGTAGGTATATGGTAGGAAGTCTAAACCATAGACCTGCTTGAAAATGTGTGCAGAGGGCTATCTGACTTGTTGATCACGAGTATCGTGCTAATTCCGCATGATAAAGCCTTTGCATGGAATTTGGTGATCTAGGTTGGCCCGAAAGGCGGAAAAATATCTAATTCATAAGCTGCAAATTATCGTAACCCCACAATAAGGCGTTATTGCAGCGAGCAAGCATGATATTCATAGTCAGCATGCTCAAATACTCTTCTAGGCAAAGATTTAAGCAAATTCGGAACTTCGACTTATCTACCGTATACCGTAATTCAAGAAAATGTAGATTGATATTCGTGATCGGCAGGTCGACCCCACTGGAGCAAATTTCAGCCACATAGTTGATTTTGACCCCCTACCGTGTACCTACCGTAGCCAAAGCGAATGACATTTTTGTGCGAACAGAGTGTGATATCGTGATCAGCATGTCGAATCCCCCCTAAGTCAACTTTAGGCGAAATCCATGATTTTGACCCCTACCGTACACCACCGTAACCTCAGAAAATGATGCTATGTTACAAAACCAATGCGATAGTCGGCATTAGCGGGCTGAAAACCCCTGGCCATGTTTCGGCTAAATCCACGGCAAAAAAATTTGGGTTCTGAATACTGGAAGCGCCCTAGGTTCTTTGCAGTTATCGGTCTTCCCCACACTATGTAACCATATGCGTCCGAATTCGTAGAAAATCTTTGAGAAACCCGCCTTCTGAGAATCTCGCAAAGCAGCGCGGACCACTTCTGCTTCTTCCTCTCCACCTCCGCCAAAATGGCAGAACGCCGTTCAGGCGGACATCGGCTGAGTACGTGTTAGCACTCACAGGGGGAACCGTTCATTCGCCAATGCAGTTCAAGGCGCCCTCCGGAATTTTTCGAACGCAACTCAGTGGTCTGAACCCGCATTGCTTCAGTTTAATGAGACACTGTCTTTACCAAATTTGCTGGCAAGTGACCATGTTGACGATCTTTATATGATAAGCTAACGACCGCCACTGGGTTGTTTGTCTAGGAGATGCCTGCTCTGTCTCTACTTTCCACCCTTTCTTCATCATGAGACTGCCTTTATGATATTGTACTAGTGTCATGGTAAAATTCTCATAAGTCTTGCTCGTTTTTAGCTGCTTCTTAATGTTGTTCCTCAATAGTTGTCAAGTTGTCATGGTCAGTAGCCAGGAAGGGTGTTCACCTATGAAACGATTTTGCAAGCTGATATGTGGGAAAGCCTTTTACTTGCAGTTTATAGCCTCTATAGATGAAGGTACACAAACCCGGTAGTCATTCGTAGCGATTGCATTAGGGGCAAAAATAATCTCCGTTTTTCTAGATGTATTTTCCAAACAGCCTGAAATTCTTATGATAAAAACTAGAGGGATGGCCTCGTATTACAGCAAGTTTGCAGTTAACAGGCTTCAATAGCTCCGGAGAAATTTAAATCAGGCGCGGATACGACCTCCCTTTTCTCATTTTTTGCTACCATACATAAAATCATAAGAAAATCCGCAGTTTATTAAATAACACCAGATTTCGCATAGCAGTAGCAGGGCTTATCTAAAGTACATAGAAATTGTAAGGGCCGCATAAATTGCATTACAAAAAGTACGAATTATTGATTGTCATCGTTGATCTACATGTGCGCTTTTGTCGAGTGTGCGAGTCTTCAGTGAGCCTTCGGAAGCAGGATGTCCACACCAATAGGTACATCCAACATCTTTATCACATATACATGCCTTTAGTAGCATTTGAGCTTCTGAAAGTGTTTATTTTTTGGATTTTAGTCATGCCAGCAGGGTTCGATCCCCGTTTGAGACAATATTTTGCGCGAGAAATAGCGATTCCCATAAAAAAAGAACTAAGTCATAATCTTTCAAAAGTGCAGCAAATGAAGCGAATTTCTACGCTTGCAAATGTTTTCAAATTATTGTTCACTCGTTTTTATTTGATACATTGGTACAGGATTAGCAGAACATGTTGCGGCAGCGATGGACCGGTCTCATAATGAGAACAGACGACAGATAGACATCCAGAATACTAGGTTTCCCGCAAAGCAAAACGCCACCGGGGTCACTAACGACATGGCGGACGTGTTCGTGGAGGACCAGCTGAGAGATCAGTTGGATGCGATTTTCGCACCCAGAACTCGTGAACGGCAACAAGTATGGAGATCGTGGATGTCTGAAGCGACGGACAGGGAGAAAGGGAAATTGCTGTGCTGACACACGCCATGTGCAGAACGGCCATCTCGGCATCTAAGGCCCGTATGCATGAAACTGCGGCATGGGAAGAGGAGTCCTTCGTCAGGCTCCGTGGCGAGTTCCCGGTGGCTGTCTTGTGCACAGGGCGCGTGCTCGCGGGGCGAGCAAAGGGGGGCACAAGCGCAACTCTGGACGGAGCCTTTGAAGGGGTCGCAAGCGAACGGCGGTGAAGCTTTTTCATCAAGGGGACGCCTTCGCTTGGGCGCAAGGATTTTCATACGCGGGCTTAAAGGCAGCGTACACCAGGAATCTCACCTTCGATGTTTTTGTCATTCTGGGGCCTTTCCGTGCCGCTGATTACAGTTATGTCATTGAAATCCTCCAAAAGTCCCAAAATTTCCGGGGAACCTCACCTCAGGGGCGGACGAGTTTCGAACTGCTCGTTCCCGTCGGCATGCCAGCAGCTGCAACAGCATGACAGCCTGCAGCTGCAACTACAACTGCTGCATATGCTGTGTGGTTCGTTGCCCGAAGGAGGCGCACCGCAAAAAGCAACTGCACTGTTGCAACTGCAGTTGCAGATGCAACAGCATTGCAACAGCAACTGCAACGGCAACTGAAGCTTACGCTGTCGTGGATTTGTCCGGAGGAGGCGGAGTGAAAGAAAAGGGGCGGAATGAAAGAAAATTGAGGGGGGTTTTCTCCGCTCAGAAGCAACATTGGGAGACCGGACCAACGCAGTTGGTCTTCTTTTGGGCCCAGTATATAGACGGTATAGAAAGATCTAGGAAATTCGGTAACTTAGATTTTGGGTGTACGCGTTTCATCACTATGAACGTTACATAGATGACTTTGAAATCTATAAATACTTTTAGTTATCCATAATCTCTGCGCAGATTAAACTCTTTTTCATCAAAGTCTACTATGTATCTACATCATTAAACCATCCTTGTTACATGTCGATAGCTTGATGCATATTATGCCGAAAGTTCAACAATAAGCTCATTTTGAGAGCTCAGAAAGGGCGATAGGTGATTCAAAGAACGATCAAATCAATGCGATGAATTTTGATCGCGTCTTTGAGCGGGAAGGTCCATGACAGGAACACACAGTTCAACGTCTTTATCTTCTCGACTTTTTCGCACGTGTGCGATAGCATAACCCTCGCAATTCATTTTTCAAACATAACATCAGTGCTCTGACCTCGTTGTTCCATACATTCTCAATATATGACTTTCAAAAAGATCTCACTTTACCTCCTCTTTCATGAACGGAAGTTTCATTGTTAGAACTCGTGAAAATAGGTTAAGAACGAAATGTCAGAGGTGAAATTACTTCATACATTCAGCATGCTTCGTTTTGATTATAGAAATTTACCAACACATTTTGATGAGCAGTTTTTCGCAAAAGGCAATGGTCATCGCTAACATCAATCCTTAGAACAGCGACGAACCAAGCTTCAAGGCTCTTAGCAATCTTCTGTTCTACTCCATACTTGCAGAATTGCTTTGTTTTTCGAATACCGAATGACGAAAGTAGCTGGTCCAGTTAATGTGTGTAACATTGAAGGTTTTTTTCTGATCACAATCAGCTAACAATGGAGGTCCGTTCAGTCGAGGTGTCCTCTTCAAATGTGTATTATACACTTTGAAGTGCATTGGACGCTGATTCCAAATGTGATTTCATTATCTGCTAAGCGCCTCTGCATGCCGAGTTTTGAATGTTTTTTTTGGTGCGAAAAATGAACGCATAGCTTAGATAAAGTCAAATGTCACGGTTTTATTAGCGTTCAAATAGGGCAGTGTTCTCAACAGAAGGTTTTCTTTAAATTAAGTGCTCTGATAATAACATTAGACCATTTGAGCAATTCTGACTTTCTTCTGTTTAAACACTGGATTTTTCAACGCAAGAAACGCTTTTAACTCGGCGTCCAGAGACGCTTGGCAGATAACGAAAACAGGTTTAGAGTCAGCGTTCGATGCTCTTTGAAGCTGTGAAAAAAAAACGGACGTTTTGAAAACGGACCTCCATAGTAAGTAAGTATGCAGCATTGCACGGAATCTCCAGGGCTGAACGAGCTAACATTGGCGTTCGCGCCCATGAATCATCAAACGCCCTACTCGGAAGCCGCATTGCAGCATGCTCGCGCGCGTTAAGCCTACAGCGACAAGACGATTTCGTGCGGTCGACTCTAAATGATCTCGTATCATCCTCATTTTCCTCGTTGATCCTATATTTCCGGTCTATCTTACTGACATTATTTCATCATTATATTGCAGGTCGTTAAATACTTTTTTCTAGCCATGCCATTATACGAGAAGCTTCTGAGTCGTGTGGGGACACAGAAGCACTTACTTAAGTTTTGGGATGAGTTATCAGAGCAGCAAAGGAATTCGTTAGCGGAGCAGGTAAGAACTGAAATAAGTGAAATAAGATGAGCCCTGTTTGTCGGTTCTGTCGAAAATTTTTGAAGGGATATATGACCTAGAGATTTGATTAAGGAGAAATAGCTTGAAGGCAAAGTTTTGGATAAAGAGGTTTCTTGCAAACGAAGTGATTATTTTTTTTTAGATCACACAAGCGCGTAAATTCACAGTTATCCTTATGACTGAAGTTTAGATCGAGTCGATTGACTTCGATGCCGTAAAGAAAGCGTTTTTTGCGTCTGAAGACGCATATATCGCATCTCCAGAAAATCTTACACCTGTACCTTTGGATCACCATATTGTATTCAGAAACTTAGCATCTGCCGAGAGGCAGCGATACTGGCGGAAAGGTATGAAATAATCTTCTCCAAAGGTTCCTGAAGTTGTGTTTCCAGGACTTGAGGCGATCTCTCGTGGAGAAATGGCTGCTCTCGTTCTCGCTGGAGGACAAGCTAGCCGGTTAGGATCAACCTCTCCCAAAGGTAAGCATAGAGTTGACATTGGTCAAGATAAGAGCAGGTTTTAGGTACGATACCGCTAGGGCTAAATGTAGCACCTTGTGATTCGTTGCTCGGTATACAAGCAACGAAAATTGCTTTGTTGGAAAAATTGGCGGCCAAGGAATTCCCTCAACTCAAGGAGAAGGGCAGAATTCAGTGGTAAGCAGAGAGGTGGTTTAGTGGAAAACAGCACTAGAGTCATATATTAGGTTGGAACAAAGTTCTGTCGCACATCTCCAGAAATTCGTAACTTCTGATCTTCCCGACCAGTTTGCTTGCTTTATATTTGAGAGAGTGAATCATGCTTTTCATCACAGTATTTTAGCAACGCTCTACCTAGCCAACATTGTCTAGATGGAAGCTGTAGAAGAAAATTACCTTTTGTTCCCGGGTTTGGTCTGAAACTCTGAATCTGAAACTTGCAATAATAAATGGAGGAGTCAGGATAGCATGACCTGTTCGCTAAAAATATTTTGGTGATGTGGATGGCGATTGCTTACTTTTTGGATAGCCCGAATCAAGTCATTTGTGGCTTTTTTTTTAAATTCAGCCTCGAGTTTTTTTTTGATCTTTTGGCTGAGAAAACTAGAGGTTTTGGTTGCCTGTAAGCCAATCATCTTTCAGGCTTGTAATGACTTCAAAAACCACAGAGGCACCCACTCGAGCGCATCTGAAGGAGTTGATACCAGCGTGTGGATTATCTTCCGACCAGGTCACCATTTTCTGCCAAGCTGAGATTCCAGCATTCGACTACGAAGGAAATCTACTACTCTCTAGCAAAGGCACAATCGTTACCGCTCCGAGTAAGTTGCTGTTTGCCGTTGTGAATCTTTTGAGTAAGAATCAAAGCAAGTACGGTACGTCCTCATTTCAGCTAAGTTACGTGACGTGACGTGACCTTTCTATAAAATGCAAGATACAGTTGAGCCATTTGCAACTTGATGTTTCCGGATTCCACGTGGGACCCCATAATTCCTTAGTTCCAAATGGCTAGTAAAACCGACGTAATGCATAATCGGTGAAGACCCTCGGAACGCAGCAACTGTCTACACTTGGGGGGAAAACATGAAATATTTTCTAAATGGACAGATTTTTGAACACATGTCGTGAGATGGTGCGCATGGTCTGCAGTGCACATATTGGGTTACAGGAGACTTGACTGTGCCACCTTTTTCTACTATTCATCGTTTAATGATTCTGTCCTTGTGAGAGTAACCCAGCGCCACCGCACTGCTCCACCTCAATTTTTAGAGAAGTGTGCAATCACACAAAACGCTGAAATAACCGCTGTCTGTCTCTAAGCACCATCATCTGATGTGAAGCGATTGCTGCTCCTCCGTCTCCATGTTTCTTTTTCTTTTCCGTCATTATTGGTGTCATGTCCACAGCGGGTTGGCACTTGATTCGCGAAGAGTGCAGTAACCTTGTGGCCGATGCGCGCTACTACTTCTCGCACTTACCGAGTGATGCTCCCTCTATTATGAAGATGTTTGTTCTGGCAACGATCACCTTTATTCCGGCAATTGACCTCGGTGTCTGGCTCCATCGCCGTCACTGGTTACTGTAGTCGAGTAGTGGGCGCGCGAATTGCGAAAGCATACAGTCTTGACATAGTTTCGGACTCTTTATTTTGGCCAACAGGTACTAATGAGGCTCTAACTAGGCTGGCACTAATCTTGGAAAAATTTACTATTGATAGTTTGTTACAGACGGCAATGGCGGATTGTATTCGGCTCTGGCAGCACATCTGCCTGAGATGAGAAAACGTGGTGTGAAGTACTTCCACATTTACAGTATCGACAATATTTTGTGCAAAGTGGCTGATCCGCATATGTTGGGATTTTTCATAGAAAATGAAGCCGATGTTGCTACGAAGGCAAGTTCCCAAAATTGTAAATTACAAACTTTAGGGGTTCCGTCTAAAGGCGCCAATGAGGCGGGTGTACATAACTACGCCAAATTTTTCGTTGAATATGAAGGTTCTATTGAAATATCTTGATTGCTTATTATCACTCATAGGCAATTCATAGCAATTTTCGAAGTAAAATGTAGCTTCAATCGCCAGTTTTCAATTTTTTAATTTTGATTTCCTATTTTGTCTACTGCATTACCAACTGGTAGAAAGCGACCGAATTCGGAAAAGCAACAAATTGTAATAAACCTGTTTCAAAAGAGTTCTTTCTTTTTTAAGGAGAGCCTTAATAGTATTCCGAAGCCTTTTTTGTACAATATAAAAGTCTTGATAGATCCGTCATTAATTTCAAATAAATCAATATTGTTCCCAAAATCATTTCCTCGTCACAAATCATTTTCTTCTACTTCCATTTTTTCGGCTTTAATTCTTATAGCATGACTGATAAGCAGAGCTGCTGAGTTTTTCTAAATATAGGTTTTCCCTATCTCTACCGGTCAAGCTGTGCTGTGGTGGGAAAGATAATAAAGTGCTCTTTAAGAATGTTATGAGATTTTGCGTGTAACCTTGCATTTTTCGTAGCTTTATATTTTGTTCACTTCACTGATTGGTCTCTTCACATTTTCTCCATAAAGAGAAAATAGAACATTGATTGACTCATCTACTCGTTTTCGCAAAAGTACACAAATTAGGGGATTTTGAAGTGTTTGTATATGTCGGGCAGTTGTCGCGTGGTACTTTATACCAGCTTTACTGGAAAAATGCGGTATGCGAAATTTTTGTTCCATTTTGTTTTAATGTAGCTATAAAGAGCACAAAACGGTCCAAACATTTTATTAATATGTCGCGATCAGCACACTCGGTTGGCAAAAATGTGGCAATATCTGAGCTGCGGCTTCGCAAATCTATTTGGAGAGAGACCAGCATCGATCAGACAGCTTGCAAAGAAAAAGTGCTCTACGTCTGTGCATTTGTCGCTCGATAAATTTTTACAATGTCGAAACAATGGCGGTCCCTGAATTTCCGTTCGTAGGAGTAGGGATGGGGTGGAGGGGGGGGGGGGGGAGAACAAAAATTTTTGCGAATGAAGGTGCGTGGCATTAGCCACGCAGAAACTTTTTTTGGGATGCTCCAGGATTTCTACGAGCTTATGACCCCGAAATAAAGGGGCGCGACTGCCGTCACGCTTCTGGTAAAATTTTTCTCAAGGCAAATTTGGACTTTGAAAAATTTCAAAAATCATTTTTCAATATTTACAAATAATAGTCGACTGCACAATTTTATAGAACATGTAAGTAACTACTAAAATTTCGCGACACATTCTAGACCCTCCCCTTCGGACCACTACTATGTCGGAAAAATTTGCTCAAAAAATTTCAAGATGTTGGGACAAAAATTGCAGTTATGCGCTCTCTGCCGTTTTTACGCAAAAATGTTGCCTGCAGTGTGGGTGCCCTAGGTTAGCTGAGATTCTACCTTGCTATGACTTCGCTTTACGTCTTCGTCGTTGTAGAAAGTTTGACTGAATAATCTCCTTTACCTAAGGTATGATCTAAACTCCAAGAGGTGTATCGCAAGGATACTGGGTCTCTTCTTGTAAGTCCCATATAGTCGATACATTTTGAATTCTGTTTTTGCACAAATAAGTTATGAAATAAATTTAAATAACAAATATGCGCTGCTTAATACGAGGTACGTGTTTGCAAGCTGTTCATTTGCGATGTTTTTCTTTATTTTTTCTTTTTAAGCGTAAGCTGGTACAAACAGGCGACTAATCATTTTACAAGTATGTTCAGAAGGAATTTTTTTTCAAATACTTATAAGTAAAAAGTTAAGCAGTCGTAAATTTTTGCGTACGGCATGCAATCTCACATATTGAGTTACAAATGACTCCTCTAGCATACCCCGCTTTGTGCCGGGGACTGATCCTTAACCAGTCCCTGTACCATGCTTATCTACACATACCTAATACGTCAAAGCAAGCGATCGAGCATGATTGCACGGGGCGACCGCAGCACACGCAACAAGGGCGGTTTTGGTTTTTGAATGACTATTAGGGGGATTAGCGCGATACTGATAGGTACATACGTTGCCACAAGGACCTGCGCCCGCGAACGCGGCCAACCGCCCGCACACCGCTTCTTATGTCCTCATTGCGCAAGAACACACTGCGACCATAATAATCGTGTAGTGTAACATCTGCCTGTTGGCATCGGATTTCGAATCCTTGAACTCGTGAATGACCGTACAAGAGCGCAACACTAGACTCATTGCTCATATTGCTGTTTTTGTGTGGGCAAATACAGGCTATCTGGAAGTGAAAAATCTCGTACGAGACTTTAAATGACGAAATCATAGCTTGCCGTACATCTTGTTTTGAAAATCATTATACCTGAGGAAGATTGGTGAAAAATTTTATCGTTTTGATCTTGTTTTACATGATACATTATGGAAAAATAGAATTTGTCACAGAGGAGAAATCTAATCCAGAAAAATATCTTATCATTTTATCTCATGGAATGAACTCCAGAATTTATGAAAAAATCCTACAGTTCGTTTGCGACAAAGCAAGGAACATGTTTTCATTCGTCGCATTGTATTCTGCAGCTAACAATAAACCACCCTTAAATGAGTAATTTGAGAACAGATGAATTTTTTATTCGCTTATTTACGTGATAGACTCAATAGTGCTAAGCTAGAAAAAACTCCAAAAACAATAAAAAATCAAAAAATCGAACATAACGATATCTTATCAACAAAATATTATTATGTAGTAAAAATTGTTCATGGCTTTTAGTTAGGTTGAGTTTTATATTGATTGAAGTCTGGTAAAATAAACAAATATTATTGAGCAATAAAAGTCGAACAACAATGATGTGGTCAGTTTACAATCAAATAGGAGTTATGTTAGCAAAAGTCTCGATGTATGTTTTATGTTTTTTGAATAAATTTCTGGCGGAAAAATGAGTTCAATTGATACATTTGCGTCACTAAGCTTTAATGTCATCTTTTTTCTTTCTATTGAGGTAAAAAGTCCAATTTAGTGCATTCCCTTGTTCCAATTTTTAAGGAAGAAGCTTCTTCCGTCACTTTGCAATTTCTCCTCTTCTAGCTTCTCAAGTGCTCTTCCGATTTAGCCTTGGGCTGTGTGCAATGAAATGGCGAGAGCAATTGTCAACAGCCATCAAGTTATTGCTTTCACCCTCATAACCATTATGAATATTCGAGATTAGCTGACAAACGCAAATATGCGGACTTCATTAAGTTATTATTATTTGTTACGTTTGGAATTGCACCCAAAGGAAAAAAGTTTCAAATGAAAGTATCAAAGCAATCACTAGCCAGGCACCGATTAGTCACACTAGCTATCCCCTACCAATCTTCATCATCCGCCATAATTTTTTTTGAGAAATCCTTGTCTCTTATATAGTGAAAGATTGAAAACCCTCAATACATATGCCCAAAAATGTAAAATTTTGCAAGCAATGCAACATATATCTAACGACTTTTGGCAAAGCAATTCTTGATTTTTCCAGACTATTCTCAAGCAGCCAGGAGAGCTGGTCGGATCGGTCTGTCTGGACAAAGGTCGTCCACGTGTGACGGAGTATAGTGAGCTGGGAGCTGAGTTGGCCGAAAGAAAAGCGGATGATGGTCGTTTATTGTTTTGCGCTGGATCTATCGCAAACCATTTATATTCGCTGGAGTTTCTCGAAAGGTTGACATGTTAAGAATTCTTTTTTTTATAGTTGTAGGAGTGCTAGAAGCTTGACATCGTGCGACAGGTCCAAAATGATTTTTGAAAATTCTCCTTTATATTTCTGGAAGTGCGAAGTGGAGTTTTTTGTTTGATCTTTTTTCCGCGAAGAATAGGCAGCTTTCTAGCGGAGCATAGAGAGAAAAAAGCTTGCAACCACTAAACCGCTTGTCCTTATTCCAGTTTCTGTGATCCATCCTTCCATCTACCGTACCATCGCGCAAATAAAAAAATCCCCCACGTCACTCCAGATGGCACGTTAGTAAAGCCAACAACTCCAAACGGTATCAAATTGGAGCAGTTTGTGTTCGATGTCTTTGATCGTAGCAAGTAGGTCCTTTATGAACTGATAGGGCGTACATTAGCCTAACTATTCTAGAAACTTCTATATTTGGGAAGTCGAGCGGGAAGATGAATTCAGCCCTTTGAAGAATGCCGAATCTGCTGGGAAGGATTGTTTGAGTACTTGCAAAAGAGATTTGGCTTTCTTGAACAGGTACGCTTGGTATTCTTATCCTAGTCTCAGTTTTTCCTGATTTCCGAATTTCATCCAGGAAATGGTTGAAAGCGGTTGGTGCCAAAGTGGGAAATGATCCCGTCTACCTGAACTGCGCACTAAGTTACTGCGGCGAGGTGGGTCAGGTTACAAAACAGCGGTCAATGGTATAGTTGTCACCCCCAACTAATGAAGTGTTTCCTCATCATCGTTCATTGCTTTCGTCTTTTGTCTGTCGGCACCTATGAGGTCAGGAATAATGCACAATACTTGCAGGGACTTGAGCGCTTCAAAGATCAGGAGGTGACAGGACCATTGATACAATAATTCAAAACTTCTTTTTGATGAAAAACGACATCTGTGATTTAACTTTGATTCCAACTGACCCATTTTAACATGCCATAATTACTTTTGACCCCTACGATTTGATTGTGTGGATTGCATGCTTAATAAACATTTTGAGACTTCTCAGTTAGTTCCAATGCATTTCACAGCTGCATCTTGTACGCCATTGTTGCTCTGAACTAGAGGAGCAGATTTTGATTGACGGCTGTCAACTATTCAGAAATTCTGAATAGTTGAACTGTTGTCCATATGATGAGTGGATGTCGCAAAACGCATAACATTCGTTTGTTCGGAGTGATTCATTGACATTTTGCTGCTAGCGATTATTTGTTTGATAAGTGGGTAAGAGACTGATCAATGTGAACCGCGTAATGCAATTGTATTTTTCATTGAAATCACGTTTTACTGGAGGCTGTGATCGTAGTAATGGTGGGTATAATGTGATAAGACTGTGAGCATCTGTTGTCGTAATCAACATAGTTTTTCGAGATTGAAAATCTTTAATTGTAATTCGTTGAGATTAGAGTATCAACCATAAATTCTGGCCCAGAAAAAGCAGCTAGCGAGGGACTCTACCTACTTTTCGTTACCGCTCAATTTTGGCAACTATCCGGGATTTAGCTGAGCTTTGATCCTCCCGGCCTGAATGCGCTTTTGATTGTTGCCACCATTTTCGGTACTAACCGCTTTGCACTGTCAACATGTATTACTGTAGGATGCTTTTGACATTCGACAGAAAGCATTGTACCCGGTAACAAAGCTGTTTTCCTGGCCTGGTAAAGTGGGCTGGGGATGCTCCCCGCAATGAACCAGCGCCGCAGCTTATTTGTCTGCTCACCCCGTCCCGTGGGCCTTTGTGAGCCTCAGTGGGGCAGAACATAGGTAGTCCGTCGGGGGGAGATGATTGTGTTGAGTTGAATGGGGGGTAGACTCCGTTGTGATATTGTGCTGCCACCAGCACGATGGGAAAGAGCGGTTTCATTTCGCGCGCCCACCCACCTCGATCCCGTGTCTGTTTGTCGCGACCATTTCACACCTCGCTACGCAAAACTGCGTCAGTTACTTTTTTCGGCTTTCATATTCAGAATCAGATGAAGTGACGTTTGGCGCCGCTGTGGCTTTTGCATTGTTGGCAAAAATTCGGGTATAGCACTTAACAGCTATGCCCTCAATTATATGTGCCCCCGATGATGCCCTTTGGCCCCGATCCTGATCGCATTGGTACACTTCTCCTTTTCAATGTTTTGTTACGGTGTCAAGCGATCAGAATCGTCTCTTTTGTCAGAGCGGCCAGCGCAGTCACGTCGTCCCCGATTGCGTCCCCCTTCGCATCCCCGGTTGAAATTACAGTTACATTCTCTTGGATGCAGCTGCGGCATTTTTTGCTCCCGTCGCGCTCGCCCGTTCTCGCTCGATAATCCGTGTAACGAGTGATGATCCTCGGTAATACTGTATTGATGGCAAAAAGCCGCGCCTTGATGCCGACCGACCGACCAACGCTTGTCCGGTCGTCCGCCGCTCGTCCGCCGCACTCGTCCCTAGACACGACCGTGAAAACGTCAGAATCACGAACAATGCTTAGAGTTGGGCTCGATCCGGCACGTGACGTGTTTCTATGGGTGCCGAATTTAGAGTCAAATATCAGTAGCGCTGGGTCGAAAATAAGCGATCGAACTCCACACCCCCCGTGTTTTGCCCTAAATCCTGTCTTCAGAGAACTATCACATCATCTTTACTTGGGCAATGGAATATGCGAAAGTACGAGTTCTAAATAACCGAAAAGATAGAATGTAAAGGTTGACAAAAGCCCACAATTGACTCCGGTCATATGCGAACATTCTTCTGAATGGTTTATCAATAAACAGGTTCTAGTGTACCCATAGCGTAAATTATGACGATGAATACGATGGAACACATTTGAATCAAAATTAATTCATGAGTGCAGGAGCTCTATGCATTTAAAATAGATCTAGAAACTTTATAATACATCGCTGAACAAATGCTCAAAAATTTCTGAAGTTACGTTAGTTTTAATTGCTTCAATATTCTACCTCTTCTTTTTTCATTTGAACATCGAAGATATTAGATTTCCCAGTATCATTGCTTTCTCTCTCTCCTTTTTTAATAGTTAGGTGAATGTATATACAAGCAAAAGATTGAGAGCCCCAGGTTTCCACATTGTGGCACGTGCTTGGTGATTCTTAATTAAGTTTTTTTTGCCGTGAATCTCAAATATCCAAGTCTTGCGGTGTTCATCGACAAGGCTTGAAATCAATTCAATCAATCATTTGGAAATCAATCTTATAGGCTTGTTCCTGGTAATCCTTCTTAAAACATGGATTGAAAGGCTAGAATCAGTTCTTCCTTAAGGTCCCTTAAACTGGTTGACGAATTTAGCCATCTATGCCGAACTTGAATGCCTAGGAGTGACTGTTGATCTGACATCAGCTGCTATCAAAACCTTGTTATATGGAAACTTGGATGCCAATGACTGAAGTGATTGAAGTCCAAAACTTTACTTTGTTATTCCCGAAGAGTGGTCAAGCTTTATCTCTATCGAGCTAATCTAGCGCTCGCTTTGAACATGTTAAATTACTTTGAGGAAATTAATTTTTGCGATGTTTGCTTACAAACAATTCGCCACCACTTCTTAATTCTTGAAATGAAGGTGCTAGAATAATGTGAGTTTCGTTGAATTCGCTAATGATTCTAATTTTAATGAAAATGTCAAGTTCTTCGAGTTTTTTGTTTATGAGCAAAAATGATCAACCTTTGTCTTAATTTTTTTTTCTTTCTACTTCAGCATTCATTCGGGATTGATATTGGAAAGATATACAGCAAGCAACGTTAGCGTTTTCTTCGAAATATTCAAACGTATTTATATGGGTGTAGAAATATTTTAGTATTATAACAAGTTCAGAGAAAAAATTGATTTCTTTTTTGAAAGGAACTTCGAAAGGAAAATCGACTTCAAAGGAAATTCACTGCAGTAAAAAACAACTGATATGAAATTTTCTTGGCTCTATCCTGCCATATTGAGAAAATTTTCTGAGATAAAGATTCCTGCGTTTTCAATCTGCCTTCATTTTTCATTAATACAAACCAGTTTTGCGAAATTAAATAGGGGAAGGCGGAGCACTAGTGTAAAGTTTAGGCTCAAGGACCTTCTTACAATTTAGTAGAAGGTGTGATCGAACAAAATTCCTGTCATAAGCAATGTGCCTGCTTTGTCTTCGATCGAAACTTGATATTTGAAAAAGGTCCTGTAAAAATCTGCTAAACACTGCTGAGGCACTAGTTCATTTTTGAGGAACAAGATGCTTTCTTCACCGTACTTGTGGTCAATCAAAGATAAGTTCATGCCAACTACTCATAAAAAATTAGAATTTGAACCTTTTTCATGCAAATTAGCCGATTACCCACAAGGATGCACGGGCAGCTTCCTCGCCTAAGCTCGTTTTTTCTCCCCCCTCTTTCTAACTCGTTGATAATCGAAGAAGTGACTGATTGTCCACTTTTGGCAGCGGTGTCGATGTCGAGCAATGAGGCGCGAATAATTCGTAAATCGCGCAGCGATTATCCTTAGCCGCGCGGACGCGATATGCGCGGCTTTCCTGCCAGCGACACTTAGTCGGCGTAATAAGCGACTAAAACTATATCGTCATGCTATGTGTCGGAGCCGGAATTGCGCTCGTTGAGTGGCTTAAACACTCGGCCTGCCACCGCTTACAGGACACCTCCCAGCGAAATCAGAACCCCAACAAGTAGTTTGGATAAAGACTTGATGCAGAGAAGTGCACTCCACTTGTTTGGTGCAAAGGAAAGGGTAACTGTCAAAAAATCAGTGAAAAGTTGAAAAAGGATCGCTCCAGTTATTTTCAACTTATACCTACGTAGAAGAATTTTGGCTAGTTGATACGTCTGAATAAAATTATAAACAACGGAACGGGGAATTCCTTCAGAATAACCTCAGAAGAAGTGGATGATTTAGAGCTTTAAGAACTTGCTGGAGCTTTGGAATTGCACCCGGATTCTTGCGAATGCCCTAAGCAAGATGATTTTGAAATCTTTGATATTTGTACAACTTCTAAATTTCAAATCTCTGATGATTGCAATAAAATTTTATGAAACATATTTATTTTCACCACTGAAACGCCTGTAAATTATTCTAAGAAGCTGAGATACAATTGATTCTCCATTAACTTTATTTCATCAAACATTGGTTTTAACACACTTTTGAGTATTGGATTCAGATAGAGCGGAATTCTAATGCGTTACACCCTTAACACAAAAGTTATTAAAAAAGCGTAATCATTAAGAATTTTCGTCGACAGCCCAAAATAACTGATGATGTTTGCATATTTCTTGACTTGAAATGTGAACGTTGGAATTACTTTCAATCAAATTTTGTGCAAAAGAAGTATGAGGAGAATTTCAGTGGTAAACAATGTATTCAGTTTCTTAGTTCCTGCCCTTATTGAAAAGTTCGTCTTTTATGCATTTACCTTTCTCGGAATCATCAGAATCTCTACTCCCGCTTCATTACATTTTACCACCCTTGAAAGCCACTTTTCCAGGAGAGGCCCCATTGAATCACCAGAAAGCAAGTAGCAAACGATTTCGAGACGCTAAGAAACGATGTCATCGACTCGTCGCCGCATGGGCGGGGCGCACCGTAATAGCCGGCCAATTGCAGCGGGAGACTTTTCATAAATGATAGCCCCGCCCAGCAGAAAGGCAGTCATCCATAGTGGCCGTCATGACTTCTCAGCCAAGCAGTAAGTCCTCGGTTACGGTACTTCGTTTGTTAGTATCTAGGGCTACTGCTCTCATTACTTAGCTTTTGCGGTCTCTGATAGTGAAGTGAGAACTGAGATGTAGTCTAAAGCATTACCATAATGATTTGGAGTCTTATAACAGAATTTTTTTTCGTTAGAGGACCATTTTGCAAAATTTTACCCTATAACTCATGTTTAGGTCGCATTCTACCAGACGTTCCGTGTCGAGTTTGTCAAGACCACAGCTCCGGTAAACATTACGGCATATTCTCTTGCGATGGCTGTGCGGGCTTCTTCAAAGTGAGTTTTCTATCGCTCTTTTCCCTTCGGGGGCACGTGCCTCTCTATGAAAACGCTGTGAACTATGATTCTGATGCTTAGCGATCGATCCGACGACACAGGCAGTACGTATGTAAAAATAAGGGCGGTTGCGAGGAAGGACGATGTATCGTCGATAAAACGCATCGAAACCAATGCAGGTGAGAGCTTATTGCACATCTCCTTAAATATCTAACTTAGATTTGTGTCTTCCGTAATTTCTGCTAATATCTCAAAAATTTAGGGCTTGTCGGCTTCGAAAATGCCTAGAAATCGGCATGAACAAGGAGGCAGTTCAACATGAAAGGGGTCCAAGAAATTCGAGCCTAAGGCGACAGAATATGTTACTTGAGCATCCCAGATTAGCATTTTCGGTGAGTCCTCTATGTTCTCAGCTGCTGCAGCTTCTCATGCCGCTTGTGACAAGCTAAGACATTGTCATACCATTTCTCAATGAATCATCACTCATTGTCTTCATGTCATGAATCTCGGCTCATTGTGTTGGGGCGATCGTTAAGCAAATCGAGGATCTCTCTGCTCAACTAGAACATATGAATTTTTCAAAAAATTCTTGAATTCTAGCATTCGCTATCCAATGCTCTGCTTTGTCGCCATCTCTATGAAATCAAACTTTGCCCTCTGTCACTGACTTCTCTATTGATAAAAGAACTTTTAGGTGCTTCTATTCAAAACTAGCAATAAAAGGTGTAACGTCAAAAAGCCAAACTCGAATTTTCACCCTTAGCAGTAATATTTCATTTTAGAGACTCAAACCATGATGGATGTCGAATTTTCTAAAATTTTGATATCGCTCACCCTTTTTCACTCTTATCCTTAACCTTTGTTCGAACGATAGCAGCAGTAGTCAGCTTTATTTCGCCCTCTTTTGAAAACACTGTGAAGTAGCGTCTTTAGCTGGCTGGCTGACTCAACTTTTTCTGCCCACTTCTTCGCAGCTACCGTAACCGCCCTCAATTGCAGAGCAACTTCTGCTAGCAACCACTTAAGTCAAGCAGTAGTCATAAGTCTAGCAAGTCGATGCAAGGAAGCGCTTTTCATTGGGGCTGCGCGGAGCCCCACTGAAGTGCCGTTGGTGCATCCATGTCGAATGCACTTGAACATGCTCGATGTGGCTTCTTCACTTTGTTCCCTCACGCGTTCGGAAGACTAAGAGCTGGTGGCAAAGGGGATCCGAAGAATGGTGGCAGTGCCGGCATACTAGCTTGGGATTTGCAGTTAAGCTGGAAAAATACGGAATGTGTTGCAGTTTTGAGTGGGAGATTTCTGCAGCCGAGGACGAGTTTCTGTGATCAATTTAGCATTTTTCATTCGATGAAGTATTCTAAAGCGATTTTCTATCATAATCGGGAAGCATGAGTTGGGACACAACTGTATTACCTGCAGGTCAACGCTATAGCTCTCAACCCCGTCACATAGTACTGGATCCAAATCGGCATTTCCCCTTCTCTCCCTCTCTCTACCTCCCTCCCTCTCCTTCTCCCATAGCAGAAAAAATTTCATTGTTTTCATCAATATGAAAATCTTTTACCACACTTCTTTCAGTGGTCTTCTTTTCTCCAAGAAATATGGCGAAGTGATTTCACTGCGAAATCCGATTTTGAGTTGCCATGAGCTCGCGCTAAATTACTAGCTATATTTGTCGTTAGGTAATATAGATTAGCGTTTCACATAGCTTAAAATCAATACAATTTGAAAACTATTTTTGAAACTCGTCCTGATTTCTGGTCCACAATCTCTGTACTCTAAAAATTCACAATTCTATTGCCTTCATACAAAGGCAGAAAATTTGCCAACATGTACTCTTCGCTACTTCGTCAGCAGTCATCATTTCAAATCCAGCTTCATAAAATGACGCCAACATTGCCGATCTGTCCTTCACAAAAAAATTCGCGATGTTTTATAGAGCCTTATGACTTTATCTCCAACCCACACATTTCGAGTAAGAATAGAATTGCCAATTTTTAGGTTAGGAATGACATATTTTTTTCGGATATCTTCGTTTGATTCCACAAATCGTTCTATCTAATTCAACCGTTTTCAGCCCGACCTTGGCTCAGACTCAGATGCATCGCCGCCATGCATGGAGAAGTTACCAGAAGTCGCGGCGCGGGTGTTTTTCCAGCTGATCACTTGGACACGGTACCAGCTACCGTTCGCGTGTTTGCCTCTTGAAAGACAAGTGAGTTACCCTAGTGAGGTTGATGTCTTGTTTGTCAAGGTTACGACATGATGCCATTGAGAAAAAAGAAGAGAAACAAGTCTTCATTTTCTGACATAGGGCAAATCTTCACATTTGGTTGCAGATCGCAACATTTCAACAGTGTTGGCCAGCTCTGTTTGTGCTAACTTGTGGGGAGCGACCTTTCATCACATCTCAGCAAATTTTGGCTGAAAACACAGATTTTCTCAAGGAAAAATCTGAGGTAGGTTTTTTTTGTTTGTGGTCACATGTTGAAACAGAAGCTAAGGAAGAAGAGGTGCACTAATTCTCTATATTTCTTCAAAAATTCGGAAAATTGATAGAAAAAAGATGAGGCTTCATTAATGGTAAATTTTCAAAGGCCATCACTACTATTTGGCGCAGTGAATAGATAAGAATCTTGAAGATATTGTGATCAATGTCATAATCGAACTGACTTCGAAAGATTAGTTAGCTCGACCTGATTCTCAAAATCCTATTTCTACCCCTCTCTAGCTCTATCAGCTTTTTCGAAAATGCCCAAAGGCTTTCCTTTTTATATCATGAGAGTTGACTTAAAAGTCGCTGAAGGACTACCGAAAAAAATGATAACTTATGATTTTGCAGGTCGCTGAATGCTTTGAGAAAATGGAATCTTTGCGGCTGGACTCACGTGAACATGCGATGCTTCGAACATATGCTCTAATGAAAGGTAAGCCAGTACTGGAACTAAGTTTTTTAACACCTTCTACCGGTTTCTCTCGGTCACCTAAAAATGCAAATTAGGAGAATGACAGCGCCTCTGTTCATAGTAGTTTCCACAGCCGCCACACAACCAGTTGTCGGTCATGCGCATCTTTATTTAGTTAGTATTTGCCTTGTAATTGTGAAAATGGAACGGATGTGACCAGAGAGGGAGCCTTGGCGACGAAGTCGTGAGCGAGGAACCAGCTGCGCGCCAGCCGGGCGACGAAGACGTGTGTGGGCGCGCGCGCGACAAACAAATCGCGCCGGGTTACTGTAGCGGGTGGCGGGTGCAGGGGCAAAAACCCGCGCTCTCTGGTTAGGGCTGGAGCCGGCTTCGCTTCGTTACAAAGGCGGTTTTTCGATACAGACGACGGGTCCTCCGGATGGTACGCGACTCGTCTGTCACATTGGCAAATAACAACCAACTCAACAGAAACACTGTAAGAAAAGCAATGTTTTGCTCTTTTCAGACACTCCGTCGGCATATCAGCTCGGATTCCAGCTGGCTGCTTATCATCAAGTCGTACATCGAACCGATCCACTTCGATTCTTGAAGTGAGTTATGCACAATTATAAATCAACTATAACTAACCTTGCTGTATCGATAGACACAAAATTAAAACAAAAACCTGAGATTTTGGCATAGTTCAAAAATTTTTGCGAGGTAGAGGGCATGTGAAAAGTCTTAGTCCTAACCGTAACTCTTAGAAAATAGTCATCGCTTAATACTTTCAGTGAAGTATTTTAGCAAGCATCTCTCCAGATCCTAACTCAAGTTATTATTCTTTCCAAAATCTGACTTATGGAGTCAAAGAAAATCTGTGTAAATTTTCAAGTTGTTTTTTTGCTTGATTCTCCATAAATAATGGCACGCTGTTTAGAGCAAAACTTTTTACATGAAACTGTTAATCCTGACTTTTTTTTCGTAAATACAGAAATTGAACAATTTCTCTGGACAATGAAGTGCAATACCTATGATTTTCCGTTACTCTTATGACATAGGAATTAGGTAATGTTATACTTTTATAAAAATCATTTCTTTATCTATAGTGGAATAACAGTCACATTAATCACATCACCTAATTAAGTTTTATATTCTGCATTTTTTGTTCAGATGTCTGGACGTACTGTCAATATCAGCCGACTCACTGGTGGCGATCCTTTTCCGTCCATCCATCGGCGAAGCTTCCATGAACAGACTCATCGCAGACATTCTGAATCCGCGCAAGCCTGAAGTTCCGCTTCCAGCACCTCAGGTCCCTGTGACCAAGACTGACTTCTGCGTTGAAGGTTTGCTGGGTAGGACCAGCTCCTCATCGTCCACTCCCACTCCTGAGGTCTCCGGAATAAAACAGGACGTCGGTAATGCTAGTCCTGAAAGTCTGAGTGGGACCGAAGAAGCTTAGTCGCTTTTCATGCTAGAGATCTCTGTACATTGTTTTGTGTGATAGAAGGGCTAGCATTTGAAATCATGTCAAGCCTACATCTTGCCAGCCATTATCGGCTACTTCCATTTTGCAATTAGGTGGCATCTCGTGAGGGGCTTGTGTACATTTATGAGATATTTCCTTACACATAAAGCTATATTTTTTCTGGAATAAAGTATTCTTGGTCTATTGTTGCGTGGTGGAAGTCCTGGTGTGTAAAAGTGTAATTGCAGAACCAATTGCCGTAGCGTAATTGTCCGTGTAAGTTTGTTTGCTTTGCACCTTCCTGTGGGGAGACAACAAGGTGATAATGAAGCGATAATTACGACTGTCTCTTAGAGTAAAGTGTGCAGGTGAGCTGAGGCCGGACAACTTTGCTCTAGGAGCCCCACACCTGCGCTGCCGAACTTTCTCAAGAGCTCAGGCATAAGTTACACCGAAGTGCCGTGCCAACAAAGGATTACCACAATGGATTAACACCTTTGTGAGCCGCCAAAAAGTTTAAAGGCGCGGATTAGCGCAAGTGTTGTGTAACCGCAGTTCGGGGCAACAAAGCGGCCGCTCGGCTCGAAAAACTGCTCCGAGGGCCCGGGGCTGAATGGCGCTCCCACCGGCACTTTGTGCGGTTTTTTGACCAACTCGCCCCGGCCGTGCGCTCTCACACGCCTCATGACATATGCTGTTACTGATCGACGATTCAGCTGTCTTCATAATACGCTAATGGATTACCGTACCCCTCCTAGCTTATCCCCATGAATTTAGTCACGAGCAGATCTGGTTCTCACACGAACACGGATTAGAGGGGATGATTTGTATCTTTTTGCTTGCAACATCGAAACGGTAAGAATCAATTTGCCACGAATAGTTACTATTTAGAAGGGATTTTGCAATAATTCTGTCTAACAATCAAACTTTGCAAACAGAAATATGATCATAAAAAATTCTTTGAGGAAACAGTAGCACTTTTATTGTGTATTTACGAAAATTCAAAAAGATTCAAACTTGTTGAATGTACTGAACAGCAGGGCATTCCTCCATAATAATTTGACTATATTCCAACATACACACAATAGGCTGTTTCTGCTTCTCTACATATTTTCTATTCATCTTCTCATTTATCTGAGATATTCTAATATTCAGTATCAATAACGTACTGGTACTTCACAAGGAAGTCTGCACTCTATAAAACCTCTTTCAAAGGGCAGCATTCATGGCGCATTGAATATCATATTTTCGACGTTGCAACTAGAAGAAATCCATGTAATTGTAACCTCCCATCACATGAATCTGCTAGAATTGCATCATTCGATTCCAAATTCGATGAACTACATTAATGACGTCATGGAGAGAACGAACAACATTTGATCTGAACTAAATGAGTGGCTGATAAACTTTTGAGCTTGTTGAGCGTCGACCTCAAGCTCAAAAGTTTATCAACTATCGATGCCAAGATTAATAAGCAACCGAAGTTGGACAATATAAATGAGTGGCTTCTGCGCGATAAGTTGTGAGCTCATTTGTGATCTCGCTCAGAGAGAAGACTGCAATCAAATGCAGTAATTTGTTTGAAGTGAAACGCATTTTCGTGTTATGATCTATTTTGAGATTGGTATTAATCAGATGATCTGCCTATACTTGGGTCCGAATCAAATAAAAATTCGATCATCTGAATAAAACATTCAAATATATTGGCATTCGAAATTCGAAGTTTTCCATTTTTGTGTAAAATTCGAAAACTCGATAAGAAAACGGGGTTTCGAATGAATCTTACTCTAATGTTTTATTCGAATGTCTTATTCAAATTCGTATTCGAATGAATTTCATATTGCCACCTAGTGAGTTGTCAAGCACGCTTCGTCTGCATTTTTTTTCTGCAACTGGATAATGCATCTTTTTGAAGCCGTGATCAGCTTTAAACTGTAGGGGAACTCGCATTTCTAGCTTTCCAGCAGTACTTGAAGAAAATTTTCAATCATGTAGAAAGTAGATCAACCGCTTCGCTTTTTCATCTTATTGATTTTGTTAAGAAATAGTTATGTTATCCTTGTGTACATTAATCACTTTCTGACGATCTGAAAAGATGGAACATTCGATGATCTAAGAGTTTTCTGGGCACAGCAGAAAAATATCAACTGCTTTCTCTTCGGATCCCCCAATAATGGGAAGTAAATGATGTTTTGCTGTTTTACTCACTAGCTAGTTGCCAACCAAATACCTTCATCGACTTTCTGATTTGAGCTAGGGGCTGAGAGATGATACAGAGGGGGGGGGGGGGTAAGTGAGGGCGTTGATTATGAACAAAATTTTTTTACCGATCAAAATAGTTTTTGGAAAACTGTTTTGATCGGTAAAAGAATTTTGTTACGGGGCTACGGGGCTGGGAGTTGGCACAAGTGGGTGAGGGTGCTGATTATAAATTCGCTTTAGTCGGGTATGTCAGCAAGTTTCGAATATGGTTGCTCTGGATATTCGATAAATCATTTATTCGAAATTCAAATCTCAATGTTCGAGTATAACCGATACACACTCATTTAATCTTTTTAATTTTCGATTTTTATTCTCACTGAATGTGATCCGCTTCTGTATTCTTTCTTTGTTTAGCGAAACCTATTTTATGACATATAGATTCACGTCAAGCTTAGGAGTCCTGTCACTGATTTTTCATCTCGTGTTTTGTGAATAGAGTAATTGAGAGTAAAAGTCATCTCTGATGCGTTGCGATTCAATGGCTACATGACAATCAATGACGTTCACTTGTACTTTCGTCAGTTTTTTTAACTACCGAGCTCAAAGTCACGATTTGAACCGGAAATCCAAACAATTAGTAAAGCACAAATCAATTACTCAACAATTCTACACCGAGAACAAATCATTTTGTCCCATCAAAAGTAAAAACGGGTTTACCTGCGCTTCAGTCAGGGCCCAGCACGAGAGTGGCAAACGAACATCGTGAAACGACTTTGCTTTTTCCACCATCGATTTTCTCGATTTCTCCTCGATCCCGCCAGCTGCTGGGTTGTTGATTGGAGCGCGCTTTCCTCCTCTAAAGAACCGGCATCATTGCTATTCCTGATCCTGACAAGGAGAAGGAAGATTTTTGGAACCAAATTGTTACTATATACAAACTACGGGTGTGGAACAGATTTTGGAAGAAATGTAGAAATTTTGAAAAAATTATGTGAAATGGAAGTTTTGCCTACCTCAGGTGGGCATTAGGTGGGCAATTGCCCACCTAATTTGTAAAAGGTTAAGCACGCTCTTCATTCGCAAAAGTTTTTATTTTTCATAATTTGTTCCCTAGCCCTATTGCGCGTACACAGACCAAATCTCGCGCGATTTCGTCATATCTGTGTCAAACGAGCCATTTTTCCATTTTATTTGGTAGCGGAAAATCTTCGGAAAAATGCTTGCCACAAACTTGAGCCTCTAATTTTTTAATGAAACTTCTCAGTTGACCCCTGCTGACAGGTGTTCTTGTATTTACCAGGTATCACAAAATATCCTCATCTGGGCGTTGCAAACGAGCCATTTGAATTCACATCTTTATTCACCAGTTATGCAAAATTTTTGGAAAAAATGTTCATAACACCTTCCATTCACATGAGTTTGCCATAATCGTTCATACTTTGTTTCCACTAGCCTCCTCTCGCTTACGAAATTTAGTGCCATATCGTTATGCATACATTGAGACCTATTCATGCATGCTGTTGCATCGGTTTAGCGATGTCGCACGTGCGGCAATTAGCGACGGCGCGGTCTGACGCGCGCGGACTCCAGGGGGTTCGCCTATTGAGGCGCATAACTTGTTAAAATAAGAAAAGAGCATGAACTATCATTTAATTCTGGGCTTTGCTCTGGACTTCGCAGAAACAAAATCCCCTTTGCTTTCTCACCCAAAACGATTTCCAGCCTGTCATTTGCCCACTTTGTGCCGGGCCCTGGCTTCAGTATGTGTATACTTTTACGTTCCCATTTCCTCTACGAGATTAAATTGACACTATTTATTATATACTTAAGGCATGCCACATGCAAAAAAAATCTAAATAAAGTAGAAGTCAACGTATACCCAGCCAGATCAGTTCAGTTCTAGTCTCCAATCAAGCTTACTGAAAAAGCCTCGGTAGGGCAAACTCAAAACTACTTTCGCTAGGTGCCGAGCGATTTTGTGGGGGCAGTTACAAGGCCATTTTCCTCCGCGCAGCCGGTGCACCCAGTGATGAGCGAGGCGCTAGATCAACGCAGCAGTGGTGCAGTGGCAAGATAGCGGACTCAGAAGCAGATGGTCGAGGGTTGGAGTCCTGTTGCTGCTATTTTGTTTTGCAGTTCTGCAAGAAGTCTATTGGGTGAAAGTAACGAAAATACTGAATTCTAGTCAGTTGAAACAAGCTGTTTACTGCAAAAAAGTCACTATTTCTACAAGAAGCTATAACCTTTTACAATATGTAAATCTGTAGAGGTTATGATGTCACAACAGTGGATTCAAATGATATATTACGAGACAACAAGCTGTGGCGAAAACATCGTAATGACTGGCAGCGGAGCTTTTTGCTATATGCGCGTACTTGGCACTTGCCTTTACCTGTGTGATCCTGCCTTGATAGGTAATGAAGCTGCTGATTGCAATCATTGCAATTTTGCAAGTGCGCGCGCAGCGAGAAGCTCTTCTGCTTTGAGCATTTTGTGGTTGTATTCCATACATGTTAATATATCATTTGAATCCATTGTTGTGACATCGTAACCTCCACAGATTTACATATTGTAGACGATTATAGCTTGTTGTGGAAAAAGTGACTTTTTTGCAGTAAATAGCTCGTTTCAACTGCCTAGAATTAAGTATTTTTCGTTAATTTCACTTAATAAAGTTTCTACAGAAATGCAAAACAAAATAGCAGCAACAGGACTCTAACTCTCGATCATTTGCTTCGTACTCCGCTGTCTTGCCACTGCGCCACTGCCACACTGGTGCGTTGTTCTAGTGC